CTCTCTCTCTCTCTCTCTCTCTCTCTCTCTCTCTCTCTCTCTCTCTCTCTCTCTCTCTCCCCCTTGTCTTCCCCCTGTACACCCGAAGACCACCACTGCGCCTTGCTGTATGTCCAAGCCCAGCCAGCTATGGAAGCTGGGCTGTGGCACTGCCCTCAGCAGCGCCCTTCTTCACACACGACCGCACATGCACAGCACCTTGCCCCAGCGCTAGCAGCAGCAAGCGAGCAATCGCTCCAGCAGCGCTGCCGCAAACTGGCAAGTGCCCGAATGTCCTACCAGGCAGCGAGCTCTTTTCTATATGAAAAGAGTCTGGCCTTGCCTGCCTCCTTGCTGGGCTGGGCCTGCGCCCTGAAGCTTCCGGTAAGCCCAGGTAACTGGGCCTCTGCTGCTGCTGCTGGGCCTCGTTCGGTTACGCCTCCCATCTGTCTGCGTATGTTGCTGCGAATGTGGCCCAGGGCCTGCATTTCAGAAAAGGCCTAGAAGGCCGTGGAAAGTATTTGCTGCTCGGGACCTGGGTTCCCTCAACCAACTGGCACGGCACAACTGCCTGAACCCCAAATACGAAATTGACAGCATTGGGCCTCTCGTGGTTCGTTAGGCCTGCCTTCACTGAGGGCGGGCTCGCTTGCATACGGGGCCCCTTAGGCCTGCCGAGGAGGAGCCAATTCCTCGCAAATAGTTCCTGATGAGTACAACCGCCTTATGCAGGAAGATACAATCACATAGTTTTTCATTTTGTGAGTGGTATGGGGATGCCCCATATGTCTGTCAAAACTCAAAACTCAATACACGGAAGACCATTAGCATGCCTCTTCGTCAAGGACGCTATCAAGTAGTATCAACGCATTAAACCCCACCAGTTCACGAAAAGCGCAAAAAATCGATTGAAATTTGATCCGGCTTCCGCTTTAACAGGTTTTGTTTGTCGAAAAGAGAGTTGTATTCGCTTCACGGCGTTCGTGCCTGCTCGGCGTGGTGCGATTTCTGTTATACAGTGTAAGAGCATTTCGACTCCGGCCTGGGCCCGTAACGAAGGCGGCAGGCCGCTTTGAAAATGCGCAGTGGCAGACTTGTGAGCCTTGGAAGGTAACATTCATCAACTTAGGCTCGTGTGAACTGGTGGTTGAATCAACTTGAATGAAAAAAAACGAAATCTTGTGAAAAATATATATATAAAATAAAAAATATTGTGAAAGTTGATAAAAGTTATCATAAAAGTTATAAAACCGAATAAAAAGTGATGTAAAACCGAAGAGCAGAATAAAATATAAAAATTCATTAAAATGAATGCCCGACAAATCAGATCAAGTCGGATCAAATTCAAACCACCAGTACACCCAGGCCTGGAGGCGCTGCACTGCGTGCCAAGCTTTTCCGAACAGCGAGCGGCGGACTTGCTTTCTTTCTTGGCTGGCGCCGTCAGCCATTGTGGTTGCCTAGCGCTGAGCCACAATAATTTTGCAGTTGGCCTCTCGTGATTTTCTACAAGGCTGGGGCGGTGCCCTGATGATTTCAGAAGCACTATTTAACACAGTTCGTTCGGACACAGTTTTTAAAGTTTCTGACACACACACACACACACACACACACACACACACACACACACACACAGTCTCAGAGAGAGAGAGAGAGAGAGGATTTTCGCATCATTTCATACACAGCTGCCAAGGGTGTACACTTCACCCGAATACAGTGTACCATCATCATGAATGTATACAAGCTATTTTTCTGGTCCGATATGGTTGTGATGAGGGTATGTTACTATGTCGTGTTCGGTGGAAGATGGTAACTATGCTGCATGTATCTGACTGCAATCCCGGGGAAGTTCCAAAAACTCTAAGGCTAATTCTTTTTAGCCCAACCAATTCAATGACGTGTGGAATCTGGGGGGGATGGCCTTGTCATTACGCTATGACCAGAGTGTTACGGGGGACCCCGTAGCAGCCACGTCCGTGATTAAGCCTCCAACGAGGGAACATGTGGGAGCGGCACCCACCAGCAGGTGCGATACCTGCTACAGCAGGCGAGAGATACCAGCCAGGGGTCAGTGGGTAGCATCAGGACCAAGCTTCTTCGATGAGCCAGTCAATGTGCCTCCCCTCCGGTCACCTCCCCCCTATGAACATCAGCAGTCTCTGCTCAACAGCCTATCTCTAGTTCGGGTACATGAGGCCAATGGGGATTGAACCCACGACCTCCTGAATGCCACTTGTGTGCCTTACCGACTGAGCTAGGCCGACACTCCGCTGAGTCCAACACAGTTTTGTTGAAAAGTCGCGTACAAACTTGCTACAAACTTTTGCAGTTTTATAAACTTTTTAGTTTTTACTGTTCTACAAGGTTTACTTCAAATCCATACTGCAGACAAAAGAGCATCCTCTTTGAGGAAAGGTGGGGTGGGGGAAGGGGGGGGGGGGGAGGGGAACAATTCCACGGTGGAAGATAGTTACAAATTACTCGATACTAGTCCATACTGAAGTTGTTAGCTAGATCCTAACTAAGGAGCAAGCCCACCGGTGCTATGTTTGTGCTTGGAAAGCATGAAACTGGCTGGAAAAATGGCCAGGTTCATGCTAGCCAAACGGAAACATAGGCACCCACCAGTGGGTCCAGCCCTGTTATCTGGTTGAAAAAGTGGCCAGGTACATGCTAAAAGGGCCTTTACCCGATACAGGCCTTGTAAAAGTAAAGCATTGTGAAGGGGTACCTCGCCAGGACCCAGAAACGTGAAAGCAGTTCAAAGGTCCAGTTCCCTATCAACAGGCGCATCCTGAACTAAAGCAAAGGTCATTGCAGCAAGACATACCTGTTCACGAGGAGATGCAAACATCATGTCTGTTCGAGATAAGGGTATGTCTGTACGTGCAGTCAGTGTCTGTTCGTACCAAAAGAAGGTGTCTATTTGCACAATGTGAGTGTCTGTTCAGGCAGTAAGTGTGTCTGTTCATATAAGTTGTGCCTGTCCGAAAGCAAACAGAGTCCCAGTTCTGGTCTAAGTCTCAGGGACAGTCCAGATCCAGACATCCAAGTCCAAATCTAGGCCGAGAGGCCTCAGCAGCAGTTGAACTTCATTGGGACAATACTGGGACACATGCAATGCAGGGTCTGGGACAAAGGAAGGCCTGAAGTAGCCAAATGCAGACCCAGCGAGGAGAGGCCAGCACTATAAAGGAAGCAGCCAGCCTCGTTCCTCGCCACTATAAAGGAAGTAGCCAAATGCAGACCCAGCGAGGAGAGGCCAGCACTATAAAGGAAGCAGCCATTTCTGCGTGGAAGTCCTGAAGCACTTGTGCGCTAAGCCAGGAGGAGCAGCGCTGGAGGATGAAGATGCGCTGAGTGAGGGAAGAAGACTGTGCGCTGGAAGTGATGCAGCCATAGCTGCCCAGCGAGTTAGTACCAGTAGTAGAGGGTTAGTAGTAGACAGCTATGAGTAGCATTCAGAGTAGATCCTTGTGAGAGAAGAGTGTGTATGCATTGTAGGAAGAAGGGACTGAGACACAGAGTGTTCAATCAAGGTTTGGCTATGAAAGATACTTACCTGAGTTGGATGTGAACTGCAGAGGTGGCGCTGATGAGTGGTGATCACATTGATGACTTGGGGAACAATCTGCAGAAGTAGTGCTGATGTGTAGAAGCCATGTTGATGAGTTGACAAGGGATTTACATTGCGCTGATAAGCGCTGGACTCAGGGAGCATTGAAACTCTGTGTAATCATATATTTGATAATATAAGTGGTGCAACTCAGTTCTCTTCTCATCTACCTTTGTCTAATGTGTGAGACTCGTGTTCATTGTGTGCAAGGATGATGCGTGACATGTACACACTTGCGTGAGATGGTCTTCAGGACACATGCAATGCTAAGAAAATGCAAACATACCACACCACCAGCGGGGCCCGGCCCTGTTATCTAAGATCTTAACCAAGGCAAGGCCCGCTAGTGCTATCTTCGTGCTCGGAGAGCATGAACCCGGTCCAAAAAAGGGCCAGATGCATGCTAGCAAAATGCAAACAGAGCACTCCACCAGTGGCGCTCGGCTCCAATCCACAGACACTCACCAGCACCAAAGAGGTTTCAGTTGAAGAAAAAGATACCGCTATCGTCTTCCCCAAATAGAACGTCCGGCCATTATAGCTGTCCAGATGCGGCAATAACTACCAGGCCTTTTATTCAGGTGAAGACGGCAGTCATAAGAAAACGGCATACAACATTTCTACGATCTAAAGGGGGAAAAAAAGAGAAACAATGGCTCGTGAAGCGAAGGGGGTGGGATGTGAGGGTGGTTGGGGAGGAGGTAAGGAAACAACCACCTACCTCCCTTGAGAACGTGATGACTATTGGGGTATACGATAGTTCTGCATTTTGCGCTTGGGGCTATTCTCAAGTGCTATTCTTGGGAGCATGTCACTATTACTCCGAAAGGTTCTGAGCGCATGCTCATACCAGCACTTTCCTAAATGTATCTGACTGCAATTACGGCCAGACCCACCTGCATCTGACTGTAATCACGTCCAGAGACAAGTCAAAAAAGTCCTAGTGTGAGTATGCCCCTGTTGCCATACATTCCAAGCTACGTCGCGGAACGGAAATCGGACAGATCCGTTGCATGTGACCATCAAAAAGCTGTGAGAGTCCAGCACAGCATACCTGACAGTACCAACAGGCTGAGCTCAGTCGGTACACTCATGAACTGTTAAAACAGAGACCTGAGATGGAACTAGATGGATGATTTTTTTTTATTATTATTTTTTTTTTAAGGAAGGAAAATCCAAAAAAGTTGAAAAAAGCTTCAAAAGAGGCGTACCTGACAATGCATTTTTGGATCGCTCATTTCAACCTTGCGGCACTCCAGCCGGCTCAACTCCTTTGCCCTTAACCCTCTGCGCATACCAAGCAGGACAACAATAGACACACGGAAAAATCAGAGTTTTACTTTTGTTGTCGTAGGCTCGTGGCCATAAATAGAAAGGCAAAAGATCCAACGAACCTGGTCGGTTGCATGCTCAACTTCACTCTTGTGTCACGCTACTTGCATGTGGAGCGGAGCTACCATCGCCCAGTCGATACAGGCTCTCCGACATCTCCAATACGCGCAACTCTCTGGCGCATCACGCATCGCACTACACAGGCCTGCCACGTATATCCTCAGTTGTATAATACTTCATTTCTTCCTCCTCTTCCTCCTCCCCCTCCTCCTTTCTGCTTTCTTTTTCGTTTCTCTCTCTCCCTGTGCATTTCATAATTTTCCAACGCTTTCATCTTTTTAGTGCTTACCACTACCGGGCGTTTCGGGTCGAATCTGGTCCTCAATCTTGCCCAGATACCTAGTGGGATCAGGAAAGGTCCATCGCAGACGCCACCGCGTTTTTGCACAATGCACATCCAACTAAGCACCTGCCAAACCGATAAATGCTATCGCACTCATACATGGGCTTTCGGGAATGAATCTACCCCTAATCCTGAGTAAATACAATCAGCGAAGTCTCCAGTGCCTCCTAGGATGCCCCAAGGTTATTAAACAAAGGTTAAGGGCTCAAATCCCTCTTCTCCCATAACCAATTCCTCTGGCAGAGGTGAAGCCCCCAGATAGAAATGACCGACTGAGCATACTTAAACATAGGTTAAGGGTTCGAATCCCTGCTCTCCCATAACTAATTCGTCTAGCAGAGGAGACTGTCCCAAAGACAAATGAACGACTGGAGCATATCACACCATGCCCCTGTGACAGGCCTTGTGAAACTGAAACTTGGCATTGTGCGATTGCTCTGATGCATCCCCCAAAACACCTCCCTCTCCCACTCTCCCATGCCAAACAGCTGTCAGACCACCGGTCATTCTTCATTGAAAGAACGACAATGGAATTAAAGTTATTAAGCACACAAAAGGAGAGAACACAGATCTCCCAAAAATGGGGGCAAACCCCCAAACAAGGAAGAAGAGCAAAGTTGGACGCGGGTTTTTAGATAGGGGTAGTCGACATTTGGACAGAGCGTAGGACCGATGGAAGAAGAGAAAGAAGCTAACAGGTCAGCAGACAGTGTTTTAAGTCATTAAGTCTTAATTCTGCAAGGAATATGAGTGAGAGCGATAGACCAAAAACCAAGTTGCAAAATCATGAAGTAGCTCAGATAGTCGTGCACCAAGCAGAGAGCACAATGCACCAAGATACCGTCCAAATAAGAGCAATACAATGAGCTCGTATGTCAATATCGCCACTCTCTGGTCACACCGACACAGTATCCAATGCCGCTCCTACTATCTGGCGCCCAGCGCCCAGCCTACTCTACTCAGCCTATCTACGCTCTTGCATCGAACCGGAAGACCAATGTACGTGACATCATCATCAATGCCGACCGCTAGCACACACCAGGTACGTTCTCTCTCCCCCCCTCATCACCCCTTGCCCCCCTCTGGATGCGCCTCCTACCTGAAGACCACCATCACCGTCACCTGCCATCACACACGCTGCCCGGCTATGGCCGCCGTGCGCGCAATGCCCCCACAGTGCCCTCTCACCTCTCAGCGCCTGTACGCGCCCCAGTCTGCCAGCGCTAAGCAGCGCTCATCCTGCAATGCAGCAGCATGGCGCAATGCCTTGGCAGGCCAGAATGTCGTGCCCAGGGGGCGCACACTTTCCTTTATGGAAAGTGTGCCCCCTGCTGGCTGGCCTGGCCAGGCACACCATCACCGTCACCTGCCACCGCACGCGCTGCCCAGCTATGGCCGCTGTGCGCCCACTGCCAGTGCCCTCTCACCTCTCAGCGCCCGTATGCGCCCCGGCCTGCCAGCCCTAAGCAGCGCTCACTCAACACCGCAGCAGCATGGCTGCAATGCCTTGGCAGGCCAGAATGTCGTGCCCAGTGGGCATGCCCGCTGCTGGCTGGCCTGGCCAGGCGTGTAGGGGCCCAGTAGCTTCAGTCTAGCCCCCAGTGTCTGCGCTCAGGCCCAGTTTCAGATACTGGCCTGGGCCTCGTGCAGTTAGGCACGTTCAGGCAGCCACCCAGCCTCCAAGTGTTCGCCGCTATCTCATTGGCCCGCGGTAGATGTGTGACGACAATGCTGCATTCTCATTGGTCCGAGGCCTTTCCATGATGTGTCGGCCTCTGAGTGTCTGCGCCCAGGGCGCAACAGCCTGAGCCCTGGGCTCAACTGTTCGATGCAGGTAAGACTTCTGGAAGGAGCCACGGAAGGCTCACGTTGCTTTGTAACCAACTGGCGTGCTGCAACTGTCTAATATCCGGTATACGAAACATGTCTGAAATTGGCCTCACATCACGTGGATATTCAGGCCCGCCTTCACTTCGGGCGGGCTGGACGGGACCCCCGTGACGGCTCAATCCTCGCAATTCTTTGGGAATTGGTTTTCACTGGTCACATCATAAGCGAAACTAGCTAATGTCCCCAGGATAACTCTCATCGAATTGTGAGGTCTCCGGTAAGAGCTCAACTCAGACTCCGGTGAACTGATGGTTCAACCAAAGTTAAAAAAAAAGCAAAAAGAAAAAGGAAGAAGAACGAGGGGAAATGGAAAGATCAGGGAGGGGAGGGGGGCGTGGAAAGAGTTGGGTCCAAAACGGGCTTCCCATTTCGGTTCTAGATTCTAGAACCTTTTTTTTTTTTTTTTTTTTTTTTTCATAGTATCTTGAAGATGATGTCTAAGTACCTTTCTTTCTTTCCAAAACCATTTTAGCTAATGCCTGTCTAGCTTAATCTGCAAGGAAAAGGAAGTGGTTAAGGGGAGGTCCTAACGGCCGGGGAGCAGATGGGGGAATGGCAAAGGCGGGAGGAGGGGGTTGGGGGGGTTAAGCTCTGACACTACCTGTAAGCATTGTTCATCTCTCTGGCAAATGATCAGAAACAAAAGTATTATAGATGGCCACAAAAGGGAAAGGAAAAGCGATACAACGGGAAATAGAAAATAGAAAATAAAAAAAACAGTGTCTTTGAATTTTGAAACAAGCACAAACGGGTTGCGACACTCGGAATGTGCTTAAACTTAAACTTTAAAGTGTAAAGCTTTGAAAGAAGAAAGAGGGAAGAAACATAAAGAGAAGCTAGATAGAGAGGGGTATGAGGAGCAGACACAAGAGCAGGGCAGGAGGCACAAGAGGGGGGCGCAGGGAGAGGGAGGGAGGGGGGGGGGGGGAGATGCAGCTTCATTGAGAAGTGTCACATTACCTCCGCACATTGTTCCTATCTAACTCCAAGAGTTGCTCGTATGTCCATCTCGATTCATCCTCTGATAGAAAAGCAAAATGGTGCCCAGGATGGCCACGCCCTCCTGGGGGTTCAACGACGGTATGACCAGATTCAGTACAACGAACCAAATTCAACCGATCTCAAAAAAAAAAAAAAAAAAAAAAAAAAAAAAAAAAAAAAACATTGACAATTTGATATGCTGACAACATAGTCTTTCTTTTTTTGTCTTTTTTTTTTTCTTGTGTGTGTGTGTAGTGCTGGGGAATCATAACTGCGGGCAAAAAGACGAGAGGATATGCTGAACCCAAGCTGGGAGTAGGTTTGGGACACACCCTCCTGAAGATTCGTGGCCAGATGGAGTCGAGTCTGATGAACGTTGATGAACGTATCAAAGGTGGAAAGGGCGGTGCAGGCGCTGCCCGACCAGAAACAGGCAGGACTGTTATGGATGATCTATCACCTTGCAGTCCACACATCCCAGTGGTTGGCCACAAGGAGTTGTCATAAGACGCGTGATGCTTGGCCCCGGCGTGTGGACAAGGGGAATCTATCCCTCATCTCTTCGGTCCTTGCCCGGTGGGTCAAGGACTTCTGGAAACCGTGGGCAGCGGAAATGAGGGAACCCTCGCCGTCAGTGGTCACCGAAGAAGAAGACGCAGCAATCCTACTAGGAACGTTACCGACAGTGAATATGGAGGATAAGCATCAGCTACTCGTCGCGGAGATGGTCAGGGTGGGGGTGCTCTGGGGCTTATGGACTGAGAAATGATCGAATCCGCCAAGGCAAGGAGGTAACCGTGCCCGCGGAGAGAGGCAGGGTGCTGGAGAACATACGAATTGCTATCCTGGCGGAAATGCAGATGCGCAAGCGGAAGGCGAGGAATGACGACAGTAAATTCTGGAAGATTTGGGGGAGCACCCGGTAATCTTCCGCCGAACGTAACGCATATGCGTTGTATTCGAGTTTTCCAAAAAAACGGTTTTGGGAAAGCTAGACCCTTTTCTTCGAATAGAAGGGCACTTCGAATATAACACATATGCTTTCTATTCGAATAAAATGCGCATGCCTTCTGTTCGAATTTCACAAAGCGAAAACTGTTGTCTTTGAATAGAAAACTCTTGTTTTTCTTGTTTTTTTTTTTTGAGGTTAGCCCCCCCCCCTCCCCCTCTCTCTCTCTCCCTCTCTCTCTGCCCCCTCTGCTCTGCTGCCGACAAGAACCTGCCCTCCCGGTCACTGACACGCTCCCTGCTGCAGTGGTCTGTGTGTGTGTATGTGTGTGTGTGTGTGTGTGTGTGTGTGTGTGTGTGTGTGTTTGTGTGTGTGTGTGTGTGTGTGTACAAACCTGCCCTTTGCGCACCACCCTGTCTGATAGCCAAGAAAGTGGCAGTGGGCCCAAGAAAGTGGCAGTGCGCCCAAGAGCTTGGATTGCAAAGGTAGATTCCAGATAACGGTGGCAGGGGCTTCAGATGGCAAAGACAGTTGGCTATAGGGGGTGTAAATCGGTAGTGTAAATTGGTAGGACTAGAGGAGGAAAGTGTGAAAAGAACCCCTTGGAAGTGGCGTAGAGACTGGAGGAGTGAAACCAATGGGTGAGGCCTAGTGACAGGAGGTGCAGGCCTGCCATCTGATACTGTACCCCCGACTGGGTACTGCATGGAGGTTTCCCGGCCAATATGGAAGCCCCGAGTGGGGAGATCAGTAAATATCACACAGCCGACCCTCTAGGCTCTCCCTGCAAAGTGTCACGAGCAGCAGGGGTAAAGGCTGGTCTTTCTTCTTCACTCTATCTTCACTTTGAAATTTGAATACTGTGTATGCTTGCCCGGGATAAGTAACCAGACTTCTTCCCCCCACAGTACATGGCGCTCGTCGGACTTCAAAAAAAGAAAGAAAGAAAGAAAGAAAGAAAGAAAGAAAGAAAGAAAGAAAGAAAGAAGAAGAAGAAGATTCAGCAATGGTATGGCCAGCTTTCAATACAATGACGTTGAATGAACCAAACTGAATAATTGGTTGTATCAAACTGAACCAATTCTTTGATTACAAAAAACAGAAAGAGAAAAACACATCACTGATATGAGGGGGAAAGGAGGGGGGGAGGAGAGAGGGTGGGGAAGAGGGGGGGGAGGTGGTGGTGGGGGGCGTCGATACTTGTGGGCAAAAAGCCTAAGGGCTGCAGGGTATGCTTCACCCAAAACAACCGCTCTCCAAGCCTCGTCTCATATAAGCGGCCAGGGGCTTGCATGACAGCACCAGGCAAGAAAGCCTCAGAAAAGTAGAAACCACATGACTGAGGGCATGTTCACACTAGGACTTTTTATGCGAAGCTCCTCTGCACATGATTGCAGTCAGATTCGTGGAGGTATGGCCATAATTGCAGTCAGATTCGTACAGGTCTGGCCATAATTCCAATCAGATTGCATCCAGGAAAGTGGGTAGTGTGTCAGTGGGGACATCCGTTAAAATTGGAACGATACAGAGAAGATTACCATGGCCCCTGCGCAAGGATGACACGCATAAATCGAGAAATGCCAGAAATGGTCCAAATTGAAAAAAAAAAAAAAAAAAAAAGGTGTGTCAGCCTGTCAGGCACATTAATGCCACAAAGGTTGATCAGGTTGGAGAGCCGTGTGATGGGCGCGATAATGTTGCACGGTTCGGAGTGCACTTGATATGGCTGAATCAATGAACGTTTGCCCTGATAGTACCAAAACCCAGGAAGGATCGAAATATTACGATCCTTCCTGGGTTTTGGTACTATGCAAGACCATTTAGGTAGGTTGGTAGAGGGAGGTATAATTGGGAGAAATATGTAGCTTGGAAGGAAAAAAAGAAAATGAAAAAAACATTGCGTTGGTTCACCGGACGAGCCTGGTAGAGGGCGCTGCCGCTCTCGGAACGGATAGCTCTTTAGTCCTCCGATCCCTCAAAGAGAGCGAGGGTCAGAATCGGAATACTATAACCTGTTGCAGATGAGCTATAAGATTAACCAGATCCCTTTCACAGAGTCATGGACTACGTGGTTATGGAAAGCTTAGGCCGCTAGTACACGGCCCCAGCCTTGCAGAAAGTTTTTTGTCGCTGCAAGCAAAACTCGGAGGAGCCGTGCGGCCAGGCCCGCCGTTGAAAAAAAAAATTGGCGGCCTCCGAAGTGGTGCGGGTTTCATGCTGACACCCGCGGGCCAATATGTGGTGTACTGGTGCTTTAAGGCGCTCTTGGCAGTGGACTTCCTTTCGGCTGAGCGAACTCTCACACAAACTATCTGAGGCTCGCAAGCAGCTCGGTCGCTGGCTAGGCCACGCAAATGGCCATCCTGTTGGTTTCATGCTGTATGACCAGTCATTCTGGCGGAGGTGGATCTAGCTATTTCTCTGGCCTTCACTGGACGGCTTGTTGCAGCTTCGCCCGCAGGCAAAAGAGAAAACGAACGAGAAAAAGATAACCAAAAAACATGAAAATGAAAAACGCACGCAATCAATCAAAAAGAATAGAAATCTCTCTCTCTCTCTCTCTCTCTCTCTCTCTCTCTCTCTCTCTCTCTCTCTCTCTCTCTCTCTCCACACACACACAGAGTAGGAGCAAGATGGATGGGCATGTTCAAGGTGGGGTGGATGCAGGCATTGGGTTTGGCAGCAGTTGAGAAAGGACGGAGGCAGCAGTCACTGGTCAGGGTCTGACAGGAGTCGAGATGGGGTGGAGTGACCTTTTAGGCCCAAGGGCCAAGGAGTTGTTTTTCTTCAGTTCGTATGTTAGGCTCGGCTGAACTGGTGGTGTTCAATCCGGTTCGTATGTTTAGGCTTGGCTGAACTGGTGGTTCAAGCAGCAACATATACGTACCACGCGGTGCCTGAGTGGAGATTGATGCACGCAGTCAAAACAGCCAGGACCCTGGATAAACACATGAGGAGTTGGAAAACTGTCCAGTATCGTACTGTTAGTTTTGTGAGAGGAGAAGAGGAACACACACAGAAGAAACAGAAGGAGGAAAGGAAGGAGGAGGAGGAGAAGAAGAAGAAGAAGAAGGAGAAGAAGAAGAATAAAGAGAAAGACGAGGAGGAGGAGGAGGAGGGGGAGGAGAGGAGAGGAGGAGGCAGGGATTCGTGACAGGCGCCCTTAGAAAAATGTGAATACAGCCATTGGAAGCAAGTACCTTGTGTGAAAACGTGCATGCATCAAAAGATGCGAAATACATATTCAGCAAAAAGTATAAAAATGAACCCAATGTCCCTCAGGACATCCGTTCAAATTGGAACAACACAGAGAGGATTAGCACGGCCCCTGCCCGATTGTGAAATGGTCCAAATTAAGGTGAAAAAAAAAAAAAAAAAAAGTATAAGCATGCATCCAAGTATGCATGAGGTAAAGAAACATGTGACTGTGCAGAGTGAGATGATGTCGTTGACACCAATAGAAACTAGTGTCACGACTGCGATTGAACTCACGGATTGAAATCCTCCTCGTCTTATCCGTGCGCAAAGCTCAGTGCACTGTTATGAGCAAACAATAGGGGCAATAAAGGGAATTTAATATTCATGGCAAAGGACCAACCTGTCAGCAAATCCAAGAGGAAATCTTGCAGCGCAGCTTCAGGTATCCAACGGAGGCAACCGAGCAACAGAGAAAAAGGAAGAATACGAGAGAGGCAGAGACATGCCAGAGGGAAGGAGAGGGATAGGACAAGGGAGAAAAGGAGACAAAGGGCGAACACGCACAAGCACGCGCGCGCGCACGCGCGTGTGTGTGTGTATGTGTGTGTGTGTGTGTGTGTGTGTGTGTGTGTGTGTGTGTGTGTGTGTGTGTGTGTGTG